GTTTATGTATTTGTGTCAGTCAACAATATGGTTTGAGCTTCAAGCTTTGGCAGCCTCTTTCAATACATGGCAGAACATTATTGCATCCATCATCAGGATTAGTAGAGGCTTGGTTAAAATATGCCTTGTCTCTTGTTGGCTGGGTCATTTTGGAAACGTGCCCTGTGTGTGTCCATCTTGCATCTGTCTGTAGCACAGAGAGGATGGACTTTTAACTGCACAAAAATACAGGTGGGAAGTTGCTTTGGAGAGTAAATTGGCTTGCTATCGCTAGCGTGACTTGTGTGCAAGGAGAAGGCATCTAATATGCAAGATCTCCTCCTGCTCTGACTGGCTGAGCACAGATGGGTGAAGTGAGGACAGGGTGGTAGATTGCAGTCTGATTTTTGTCCTGCCTGTTGTTTCAAATTAAGCCTTCACGCAATGAAGTATGCAGTTTTGTGGTCTTCATTGCATTCAAGTGGCAATGACTGTGCAGTTGACATGAGAAAATTAATTTAAAACTACATATTCCTATTCAAATATATTAAAGCATAGTGTTAAGTGGGAAGCAGCTGAAAATGTGATTGGTTTGTTTGTTTGAGTTTTGAGAGCTGGCAACCTTCTCTGCTGATAGTGTAGGGGCAAAGCTCTCATTAGGAAACAAAGAAAACCTGACAGGAGAATGAAGGGCATGGAACTCATAATTGGCTTTTCTCGTTGTTGCTGCACCACTTGCTTGGGTTTTGTTGGTGCTAAAAACTCAGTCTGAGATCAGGCAAAGAGCAATAGCTGGCTTGCTTGAGCTGTACACACGCACATTTCAGTTTTAATTAGGAGGAGATATCAGGCAATGCACTCGTGCTGTAGCTGTCCCTCTCCTACACTGCCTGGGTACCTGCAGCACCAATTTCACTTAAGATGGAGAAACAAGGGCCTTGTTTGTGCGCAGGATGTCAGGGGGCATCTCCAAATGGGCTGTGACAGCAGAGGCTTGCAAATAGCAAGGATAAGCAGTGGGGTGGAAATTACTGAGATGAGAAGGAACAGAAAGGTCTGTGACACCTTAACGCTTGCCTGAGAGGCAGCCTGTATCCGTTCCAATTAATGCCTGCTCCAGACCTCCGGTCCTCGCCCTTGCACACTCTGTGTGCTCTGAGTGCACACTCTGTGTGCTCTGACTGCCCCTGGCCTTGTCTGAGCCCACACATCTCAGCAGTGTCACACGGTGGCTTCTGAAATAATGCATGGCAATCCCTCTCTGAGAGGCGATTTTTTTGACATCTTGCTTGAAACTACTCTGGCACAGCCTCCTGATGAGGCAAGCTATTTAAAGACCAGGGAGAAAGCTCCAGCCCCCTTCTTGCACACATGAGAGCCATACGGTCCTTCAGCTCCACTTGGCACATGTGACAGAGTGGGATGAAAATGTGTGCTGTAATTTTTAATGGAATATCTTTTAAAAAAAGAAACAACCTTAGAAGCTCTCTAACCCCATCTTCATTATGAAAAAAAAACCCCTCAAAACAACCACTGCTTATTCTTTGTAGTATCTATGGCCCACATAGATCACAGCCAGTGGGGTGTTTCTTTTGTGTGCCTGGTGGTTCCTTAGGCAGCTTAGTTTGGGTTTGGTTCTTAGTTTATTATCCTGATTTCCCCATTCATTCCCTAACGGAGCAGTGTGAGGCTCAGGGTGTGAGCAGAGCTATGTGTTCATGACAGTGTGTGGATTTTGGAATTGCTCATGAGGAGAGGACATGGAAGTATTTCTGAGAGTTTCCTCACACACTTGCTATGCAGTGTGAATTGAGTGCCTGCACAGATTTTAAATTGTTTTCTAAATTAAGAGCTCCCTCTCTTCTTTTGTGGGTATGTGCACCTGTGCATTTCTGCATGCCTGTTGTAGTAAAGACAGACTTAATTCCTCAAGTAACTTCTATGGCTTCTTATGTTTGTGTAGATGCTTGACATTATTTTGGCCTGAAGTCCTTTACCGTTCATGATCAAAGTAGTAATGAATCCTTCAGAGGCTGTTTTCCTTTTTTTACTTTTAAATCAGTATTCTTATTAATATTATTAGTAATTAAATTAGTATTATTGCTGCGGGAACTAGCTGTTAGAGAAGCACAGCATCAGTTTGGATGGGAACACTGGCTCTAAAACACCATACCAAACCCAGCAAGCCAGAATTTCTGGATGTCCCATGATTGTGCTTGACCATGACCATCGCATTTTGTAAGCGATGTTTGGAGGGGCCTGTGTTATTCCCAAACTGAAAGAGTGTGAACGTGGCATAAGGAAATCCAAGCTGGAGGTTGTACAGATGTCAGTGTCAGAAAGCAAATATGCACCAGGCTTAACTGGAGTTGTCTGTCTGCACGTTACAGTGTTCCCAGGAAAGGCTGTAAAAGAGCTAGCAGGGATAGACAGCAATGTGGAATATTTGGTCTCCCACACCCACAGTCCTCAGTGGAGCTGAGCTCCTTTCAGGAATTTCTTTGGCTTTATAGCTTTGTAGCTCTTCCTGCAGCAGCATTGTATTTCTCCTTTCCCTTATACTCTTCTCTTAAAGCTGACAAGGACATCCCTTGCTGCTGGGTGGTAGTTGTGGTTTAATGGTGGTTTAGTGGTTTAACAAGATGAAACACAGCCAAGCTGTGACTTGAAGGAAAAAAAAAAAAAACAACTAAACAAAAGGGGCAAAAATACTCAGGATGCAGTAAAGCCCAGCTCCTTCAGGCACTGGATGGCTTTGTAAAAGATGAAATGTCCTCAGTCACTGGAGCTGAGATGGAGGGAAAGGTGGTTTGGGGCACAGGGACAGTCACAGTCCTACCTGAGAGCAGAACCCCTGTGCAGTCAGCTGACTCTGACAGTTTTGGTGTGTTTTGGACCCTGTGCTTGTTCCAAACAATCTGTGATTGTAATCTCTAGAGCAATCATTTCACCATGTATTTGATAACGGTGTCCTAAAAAACCCAGCAAAAACAGAGGTCCTTATGCTGCCGATGCAGATTTGTGTGGTGCTTGTTCAGTGTTGTGTGTTTGTTTTCCTTTAAATTTTGTGCCATGAGGAAGAAAGTAGTTTCTGGTGAGCCCCTGGACCTGTGAAGAACCAGTCACTGAACCCTTGGGGGTTATGATAAATCCTCCTGACAATTGAACTAGAAATACTTTGTGAATGTAAACCTGTATCAATGTCAAAGTCTTTTTAGGCTTATCTGAAAGAACTCCAGGAAGGGGGATGTGGGTTGTTTGGCAAGGATAGGAGAGGTCCAGACTGGCTGTTACAGATATTCTCTTATTTTCAGGTTAATTGCATTCCACTTTTGTCATCACTTACCACCTCATAAAACTTAAGTTTCTGAAATGGGTGAAGTAGACTGACTTTGGTTGGTTGCATTCAATCCATTCTAGAGAGAGTTTTGAAATACTTTGTCCAGGCAGGATCTTAATTTCTTACCAGTTTCGTGGGAAGTTTATTTCTGTGGTGTTATTATGGGATATGTCAGGAGTTTCTGAAGCATTTTGCACAGGAGGATGCAAGTGAATGTGTCTGCTGCTCACCACTTACTGAATTAAGAAGTAAATTAGGCTGAGATACTAGGTTAAGCTGCTGAGAATAAAAAGAGGAAGAGGGGTGCCTTTTTTGGCACCATGAGTTATGAAGCATTCCATTCTCTTGCCATGTGGTAGTTCCTTGCAGTTTGCCGTCCCTGTCCCCTCCTCCTGTCTGCTATGGGACACATCTGCAGGCCTTGCTTTCATTTGTGTGACTAATCTGGCCATGCCTCAGCTTTCATTTGCTTGGGTGTGTAAGGTCAGAAGCAGCTCTCCCTGTGTGATTTTTTGAAGAAATTCAAGGCTTTGTCAAATGAGCACTGCTTCAATGAGAGCTTTATGTAGACTCAGACAAATGAGGTTGCAAGGGAAAGGCATTCCTCGTCTTCTCCTTCCAATGTAAATAGTGCAGCATGTGGAAAACAGATGAGTGGACTTCCTGTGAAAGGGCCAAGGATGCAGTTTTGGACTTTATTGAAGTGTTTGCTTGCACTGCTCTTTACTTTACTTTTTTCTGGGGAAGATCCTTCTGGTTGGGCACTGTAGCTCACTGTCCACTTAGTGAATGTGAATAAATTCTTCCTGGCCTTTCCCTTTCAGCAATTATTCTGATGACTGAACACTTCCATAGAATTTCTTGTTTATAGACAAGAAACTGACCATTTTGCTCTTTACAACTACTCAGTTCTTTGGTTGCTTTCTGTTTCAGCCTCCTTTAATGATATCACTTAAGAAAGGACATGTAAATGACAGATACTTTTAAAGCATGTGCCTTGTTAGTAGATGAGGAGCTGATTTGTGGAAGAGAAGTGGTGTTCCCCATGGCTGGGGCACATCAGTGTATGCACACATACACTCTGAAAAGGAAGACGTTAGAAGACCCTTGCCATTAAAATTTGGGACTGGGCTTTTATAGTATCAAGTGATTGATTGTCAGATCTCTTCAGGCCAGCTGTGTCATCTCAGCAGCTTTAGATAAGTTATTGGTAGTATCAGTAGAATGTTTGTTCCTTTATCAGGTGCTTTACCAGGTCTACCACATCTTTATCTCACTATCAGGATGTTTAACTTTGGGATTGATGAGTCAGACTGGTTTCAGCTTTATTCAACACCAAAAGCCTGGCGATGCTCCCTTTTCCATTTATCACCAGTAGCTTTGCAAATACCATTTGCCACTGGTGGCATTGAGTAGTTTTACCCCATTCCAGGCAGAGCATCCTGGTGGAATCTCCAGTCACCTCTGCCCAGGACTTGAAAGAAAGAGGCATTTTCGAAGTGCATTATTAACTACCCTTCTGATGGGAATTTTAATCCTTACTAGCATTTTGTTACTAGTGGGCTTCCATGAAAATTATTGAGCTGTTGGTAAGCAAATGTTCACTGAGTGCATGCCTTTCTCATGTCAGTTGGAAAAAATCCCAAACTAACTCATGCTGCTTCTCTCTTTCTTTTTACAGCAAACCAACCCCATTGATGTGCAGTCCATTGAAGAAATTTTGAGGGTAGGTACTCTTAAATAGTAGATCTCTGTCTTTGCTTAGATTTTGCATGCCTTAAGGTAATGGTTGGGGGAAAAATACCTCTCTGCTTCTGTTCACTCAGCAGATGTAGCTGTCACTAGTTTTGGGATGTGCTGAGGAGAAGTAAAGATAAGAGTCAGCCTCAAATACAGCTGGAGTTGTAAGATCAGTCTTTCTATCAGAACATAAGTATAATACAGTCTGGTGCAATTTAAGACTGACAAGTCATCCAAGACAGCCAGAACTACTTCTGCATCAAGTCAGGGGTTTGCCATTCCCATGTGCCCTTCATCCAAAGGCTCTGGACAAGCTGCCTCGTGTCTGTGCTGCCAGCCCCAGCAGCGTGGCCCTGAGCAGGAAGACACCTGTGTCCTTCCCACCTGCCTGTGCACAGCACTGCTGCTGGGCTGCTGCTCCCTCACTGTAATTCCAGGCTGCTCGTGCAGACCAAAGCCGTGTCTGATGCTGTAACCTTGTGCCAGAACTGCTTCTGTGAGCAGCACAGGCTCCAAGTGGCTGTGGCTGAGTCCCTGTTATCCCTTTCCTGTGCACAGTGTGGAAAATGCCCTGGGATTCCCAAGCCAGTGGTGCTGATCTTGAGGAGCGGGTTCCTTGATGTCAAATGCTATTCTGAGATGCTGAAGTCCTGGTGGAACAGTTTGGTTTCTGCAACTCACTTCCCTTGCTGTTGCTTGAGGTTACAAAATCCTGATGCCTCAATAGCTCTCCAGAAGCTGCTTTTGGGGCAGTGTTTTAGCTGGAGGAGAGCTACACACAGGTGCCCACTGGGTACTCTGGTTGTGCTGGTTGGGGTTGCAGCACAAGGATTCCTCCTAGAAGTCTGGCATCTTTCTGTGTTTCACCAGGCATATCCTGTGTTCTTGCCTGTAATGCATATCACTATGCATTTGTAGCATACCATGCATTTTGTAGCAAACATGGGGAAACATGCCCAAATGCATGAAGAGGTAGATCCAAATGAATCTCTGTGCCTATCAGCAGAACTCCTGATAGCTGCTTCTCTCAATCTCTTTCCAGGAAATGACCCGCTCTTGGCCACCTCCCCTGACAGCTCTTAATACACCTACTAAAGCAGAACCTTCCAAATTTCCATTCCCAGCAAAGGTAGGATGCCCTCTTTCTGCCAGGACTTTTGATAAACTAGAAGACAGCTTTCTGGTCTTGTATGTGTTTCCGTCTGATTTTGTCCCCCTTCTATAAATAAGGGCTGTTAGGGGGTATTACCTTTAGAAATAGTCAGATAAATTAAAGCACGATGGTGGTGAATAAAAAGGGCTTCATCAACATTTGTTGTAATTGTGGTCTTCAAATACAGCTACTTTTCTTAGACATTTTAAGTATCTCTGCTGAAGCACAAAGTATGTTTTATCTTTTTGTCAACAGAAATATTTGCTGACTGTGTTAAACAGACATGTTTGGCAGATCTTAAATTTAAACAATATTTCTTCAAGAATGCACATACCCCTAATGTGGTAACAACCAGTTCTTGGTGACAGTAGCACATTTCTGTCCATGCTATGTCTGGCCAGCTTGGACTATTGGACGCTTTGACAAGCTAGTTGAAATGTTTATTACAGTAAAGTGACACATGGAAAACAAATTGTCAGTACGCAGTTCTTAAGAGAGAGCTCATTTATCTTATTCTCAATTTGCACTTTGTCCTTTTTTTCTAGGAATTGCAACCTGAAGGATCTGTAGCAAAGGATCAGAGTAAGTAGATAGCCAAAGGAAACACACACAATATGTTTATTGACAGATAGTTTTGTGTGTTGTGTGTTATACATGACATGTCAATTGATTGACATTGATGAAGAGGTGTGATTTCCTGTGCTTTGTTGAACAGTGATGAATTTAGAAATGGCATAAGAGATGGTGTATGTTCATTACGTAGACATTAAGGCAGCTGTTCATCAGAGTATTTCATCATGGTATTTCATGAGGAAACCCCATTTGGAATGATGAATAATCTGCTGACAATTATGTTCTAGAAGAAAGTGATAAGTGTAATCTGGTGCTCAGAGAACATAGGATATAATAGGCTACAAAAGAAGCAAATAAACCAAACCTATTCATTTTTGATTTCCAGAGCACTATGGACCGCCTTCAGAAATGTTGCCAGGTTCTCAGTCAAGAACATCGTAAGTAACCAGACCCTGTTCACATCTCTACTGTGCAGTTAATTAAAGAACCAGGAAAGAACTAAATGTTGGGTTACTCGATGTTCTGAAGATTAAGGTTTTATCAGTCTGATTTTTCTTAGAAAACTTCCAATGCAGGGAATTTTCACCAACAGAAACATTATTGTTTCATGATGGAACCATAGAATCATTTAGGTTGGAAAAGACTTTTAAGATCATCCAGTCCAACTCTTAACCTGACAATGCCAAGTGTACTTGTCATGATTACAATGACTGTGTTAAAACCAAAACTGAAGAAAAATCCCAACTATTAATGCACCAGATAAAAAGTATTTTGTTCTTTTCATCTGTGGCTATTTAACATCACAGATTTGTGCTCTTCAACCTGCATCCAACTGACATAAATTAAAAAAGGTCCAAACTGAATGTGACTGATCCTGGATATTGTTTTGAAGCCTGGGAGGGCTAGTAAAGCTACACCTACAAGAACTATAAAAAACAGGGCTGAAAAAAAAAAAAAAAAAAAAAAAGGGGGGAAATTTTAAAAAAAAAAAAAAAAAAAAAAAAAAAAAAAAAGGTAGATAAAATAACTTGGTGCTGTCCTTGTAGGTGAAAGTGGTTATCTGTTAATTAGGTTAATTACAGAAGTTGCTTGAAAGCAGTTTTGTGTGGGCTGACATTAATCTTTAAGGATTAATTGGCCAAATGCAGCATTGCTAGGTTCTGAGCCCTCAGTAACAAACAGAAATCTTTCCATGTCTGGAAGGTTCTGGGGTCCATGTGCAAGGCACTTGCTGAACCATTAAATTTAAATGTCTGTCAGTTCATTTGATACATAAAGATCTTGTTACTTCATGATATGTTCTTCCATGGAAGGCTGCAAAGTACAGACTACAATGCTTACTCCACTTGTTTGCCTTTTCCTTATCACAAATCATTTAATTAAAAACCAAAGAAAACTGGGCTAGTCACAAGTAAGAGCAAAACCACGTCTCCATCTTGGTTGAGGTTGTATAATTTTTCACTCAGGCTCTGTAGGGTCTGTTAAACATCCCTTTTCCTGCTGTTCCAGCATAATGCAGAGGAGCCCTCACGGGGAGTGTGGAATAGTGTCTTGCTGTGCAGTCAACTGCTCCCTTAATCTCTTCCTTATTTTGCTTCACTTTCAACCACCCCAGTTTGTTCCTCCTTAATGACATCTGAAAATTTTCATTGCACTACTGAAACTAGTAGTTCCAACTACTCCAGGCTGTGCCTTCCTCCCCAGCTCCCTATGACCATCATCATTATTTCAGTTCACAGCGCTTGTAAAAATCCTTTAGCCCTTTAGTCAGTTTTCAAGGCAGCAGAGAGAGAAGAGACTTTTCCTGCAGACAGGAATTGGAAGAGACTCTTTCCTTAGCCCACGAGGCTAGAATTGTAAATTTGGCACAGTATGGAGCTCTGTCCATAGGTATGATCCCCTCTCTGCTCAGTGTCCTTGCTGGGCACTTCAGAGCCACTGTTCATCTGCAAGGGATGTGTGAGCCCATGGTCAGCAAAGGCATTGGAAGCAGGAGGAGCAGGGTGGCCTGGGTTTGTGTCTGAGTGAAGTTTGCCTGAGGACTTGTTCTACATCTTTCCCTTGAAGTGACACATCCCTTCTTTTCTGTGTTTGTTTTCTCTGGTACAACAGGCCTGCCTTTCTGTGCTGTTCAAAGCGCACGTGACTGTCTGAAAATTCAGCTGCCTGGAGTAGCTTGTGTTGCAAAGTGTAGCTGGCTGAAAACAAACAGTGATTGTGCTGGTTAATTAGAAGATGAAATCCCAGGGCATCTGTGTGCCCAAATTAAGCATTCAGCTTTTCAGAGCATGCAGGGATTTCCCAGATGGATTTCATTCTTGAATGCAGCCCTGAAGTTTGCACCTGGCAGTGCTGGAATGGAAGCAGCCCTTCTTTGAAAACAAGACATGCCAGCTCATTCTTGGTGATGCATCTTTAACCTGGCTAGCAGAGAGGGACCAGCCTGTGCTTTCAGTGAGGTTGTTTGGCAAGTGATAATAATTTTAGTGCTGCTCCTCTCACTGAAAGAACTCTTTTTAAATAGCTTTAGGGAGATTAATGGTATGTACATAAGCTGCCAATGAACAGGTCCTGCAAATGAAACCTTGGCATCTATTATTCCTGAGCTAACTGGAGCATTAAAATTATTAAGGCAGATTTTATTTTCTTTAACTAGGCTATTTAACAATTTGTCAAAACCTTGTTTTGGGGAAACTGGCTTTGTCTACCCTTGCTGAAGTATGACTTGAAGTTTTAGTGGTCTTCCTTGAACCCATATAAGTCGTTGCAGTGTTCTTTTATGCTGATGTATTTTATTTACCAGCAGCTCAGGTGGAAAAGGTAGTCCTTTTTATTACAAACAGTTAAATCAGATTTAAAGAGATCTAGGTAGTGTCTTTGCATGTCCCTGTCCACAGCAGGGGTTTGAAACTAAATGATCTCTAAGGTCTCTTCCAACCCAAACCATTCTGTGATTCTGTGATTATCCTCTTACCTCCAAATGAAATAAGTCTTTAGTCCACAATTCTTAAAGCAGAACAAAACCGAACCAAAAAACCAAACAACACCCCAAAACCAAACTTAAAACCTTTCAGCATGTTTTAGCATCCCTGAAAGTTTCTTCACTACCATCTTTGAGGGGACTCCTTCCCCTTAGGAGTTGTAAAAGAAAATAAAAAGGATTCATTGAAATACCAGTAGATGCTTAGCCAGACTGCCCAGAAGTGTGGAGAGTGCCTGTACTGTCACTGTTCTTTTTTCATTTCTGTGCCGCATCTGTCTGGCAGTGAGCTTGGGCTCTGGCCCCCAGGCAGAGCTGGCTCTTGTAGAATTGCTGCAGGCTCTTTGCCTTCCGTAGGAAATTTGGAGCTCTCCTTTTCCAAGGTGGTGTCTCATAGTGCTTCCCTTCAGTGTTTACTCTAAATGAAGAGGCAAGAGGTGATTTCCAGCGAGAAGCTGTGTGAGGAAATGAGGCAGTGGAAGGTAGATCACAGGGGAATGACAGTCAAAATGAACAAAGAAAGCACTGACTTTTTCCTAATTTCTCCCCCTTTTCCAGGGTGATGTGGTTCACTGGGGATCGTTTATAGTTGTTTTCTTGCTATAAAACATGTTGTCATGAGGGGTCAGAGTCCTATTTTTCTTTTTTGGCTGCAAAAAACATTTCTCACAGAAAGCCCTTGGCTTGAAATGAGCTTGAAATAAGCAGAGTTTTTTTTTCATGATTGATTAAAATCTCTGTCTCAGCTCCCAAGCTTTTGATCCCATTTTTGGAAGGACACTTGAATAATCATCTGGGTTGAGGAGTCAGTTGCCAGCTAGTTCAAGATTTGAATAACTGTACTTTTGAATAGCCAGGTTTTATCTGCCTATTTTTTCAACTCCTTTGGGATGCCTGCACAATTGCCAGAGAGGGGGATAACGATCTGGGAGAACTTTGGGTCCCACTCCTTCCCTTCCAGCATTTGAATTAAAAATTGCAAGCAGTAGTTACCACCTGCAGCCACAGGAATAAATGATGCTTTTGGAAATGTTTGTGGGCAGCCAGCTCTCTTCTCTAGCAATAGTGAAACAGAGCTTGTGCCTCTCCACTTGTAAACTGCTCTGGGTACCTGAACTGCTTGACAGTACTGCTGAAGATGTGCAGGAGAATGGAGTTCCTTGAGTAGAGAAGGGAGATAGGCTTGACCTTGGCACTGACTTACACATGTGTGATAGGAGACTTGAGCAGCAAAATGAGAACCCCTGGACAGAAGAAATATTTGCAGCCTCTGAGAGCAGAGTTTGTGAACATGCACATCTCCTGGTGCTCCTGATGCTTTCTGTCCCTTGGGGAGCTTAATGCAGGCTGACAGCATGAGAGTCTCTTACTGTACCAGTAAAAAAAAAACAAAAACAAAACCCAAAAAAACCCCTAAAACATTTTAACCATTCATTTCAGGTAATGATAGGTTTAGTAGATTGAGCATGCCAGATGTTCAGAAAGGATGGGGGAGGTTGGGAGGTTGTCTTGCTTTGGCAAATACAAACCAAATCTTTATCGCTGCCTGCTGCTTCAAAATGTGTCTGCCTTGGCTGATATTTATCTTCTGGTTGTCTTTCAGAATGCTCCAGGACGACCTGCAGCTCAGTGATAGTGAAGAGAGTGGTGACGATCAAGTCGGTTTTAGCTGTTTTTTACACTAGGCACACAGACTTCCCTTTAAACATCACCACTTGTTGCATTGTTCTGAGTTCTGAGCTAACCTTTCCTCCCCCTCTCCTCTTTGTCTTTGTGAACAAAACAGGTTGTTGAAAAGTCACCTTCTTCACTTGCTCCTCCAAGGTACAGGTTTGTTCCCAAATACTAGCTAGACCACATAAGGAGAAAAACAAAGCTGATTTTTATATGTGGGGTAGGAGGGTAAGGGTTCCTGGTTTCTCTTGTAGCTACAGACTTTGGTTTCTGGCTGCTCTTGAAAGTCAGCTTTAGCTGTGTGGAGTTTTCCGGAAAGCTCCACTTAGAAATGCTGGACCTTGCCCATGAACCAGAGCTGTATTTCCTCAACTGCTTCTTTCTCTTCTCCTCCTCCCCTCCACCAGTGTGTCTGTAGATCACACTGCAGCTAATGGGATTTTCAGCTGTAGTGGCCATGGGTGAGATGTGAGTCCAGTTTTAGCTCAGAAGGAAGCCCAGAACAGCCAAGTGGGTTAAGAACAGGAAAGGGTTAGGAAGACTCATTGAGGCTGTTTCAGCTCCTCTTGATAAGGAAGCTGATTGTAAGCAGTTCCTGCCATGTATTGTTAGTCAGAGGCAATATTCAAGGTAGACTGAAGAGCCATATGCCAGCATTTGAGGAAGAAAGATGGAAAAGCTCAAAATTTTTCGTATATGAGAGCACTGACATAGATTTTTTTGGCTTGATATGTATATTCTTCAAGCAGAAGAGTGGTCTACAAAATCAGCCTTGCAGAGGAGCACACCAATACTTGGCATGATCTGTGTCTCTGCAAACTCTTAAAATAGGAGTGTTCTCATGATACTGGTCTTGGATCAGCAAGGAGCTTGCCTCCGACTCATACAAATGTGTTGATACTGATGTGGGAAATCAAAGTAGAAAAAATAAATTAAAATATCTACATTTTAATTTTGTAAGCCTATTTCAAAAAGAAAAACACCGTTTTTCAGAAAAGTACTGGGCAGTTTCAGTACTTTTTAAACTTTGGTTTGCAAAACGCAGCTCCACATTGTAGCAGTGGCATCCTGCTACATATTTGACTGGGTTGGAGTTGAAGGTTTTATTATTTCCAGCAATTTTGTATTGTGGTGCATTATTTTTTGAGTATGCCAATGTATTTCTCTGGCCTTCTCACCTCCGTGCCAAAATAATGGGGTTTCAGTTTTGGTTTTTTTTTGAATAAAACTGTCAATGTAATAAGTAAGTAACCTTCAACCATGCTGCTTTCTAATTTTATCTCATGGTGGCCTTGCAGTTCCTTACAGTCCCAGCCCAAGAGCGTGGCATCAGCACATTCCAGCAGCTCAGAGTCAGGGAGCACCAGTGACTCAGACAGCTCCTCAGACTCGGAGACAGAGAGCCACTCGAGTGACAGTGACACCAGCGACCCTCCCAGAGCACCAGCACCTGAGGTGAATGCACAGGAAAGGCAGAGGCTGCTTACACAGCCCCTTGCCTCACTCCGCTGTCTCAATGCGTCAGGGCAGGAGACTGGAACACTCTCATTGATCAGGTGTCCCCTTGACAGCTTTGCTGCATCATTCAACTTTTCTTGCCCTTTGCTTCCATTCTGGAGTTTGTCAACCTTAGTTACCCTTACTACCAGGCTAATTAGACTTTCAGATACCCAACCTGGAAGTGCTCTGCAATGTCCTTTGGCACAGTTGTCTAGCTCTCCTGGAGGAAGCTGTGCCTTCACTGGGGAGACAAGAGAAGGCACAGAGGGAAAGCACAGCTGGGCTGTGTTGTGCCCACCTCTGCCTGTGCAGGATTTCTGGGTGCCTTTATGGGCAGTGTCAGGGTGAGACCAGTTTCCTGATAATTTAAGAGGAGCAGCTGCCTCCCTGCAGCTCCTGTGTCTGAGTGACAGATTCAGCTTCTCCCAGGTTGCAGCTGAAGGGATCAGACCTGCAGGAAGGGCTGGAATATGCTTAGTCTTTCTGCTGTTGAATTTGGCTTGGATAATGCTGCACTGGCATTTCTGAGGCTTTTATTGGAGAAAGCAGACAAACAGAACTTGGTGCCTTAAGCTTTCATAATTGTGAGACCGTGCATTTTTAAAAAAATCTGTTGCAGAAGTGCTCATGTCCCATGCTTTCAAACAGTTCTTCAGCTTGCAAAACATTCTCAGGCCACTGGGAAGTAGATGGCTGTGTCTGCAGACCACAGCTGATGCAAAACAATCCACTGGCAGTTTGAGGTCCTCTTACAAAGCCCCTTGTAATTCAATTTTCCTACCCTCAGCTCTGGCTCTCTTTCTTTTCACCTTAGAAGTGCATGAACAGGGAGAAGCCAAAAACAAGCTTTCAGACAGCCTATCTTTCTATCTCACTCTTATGCTTTTTGCCCTGCAGCAGTTCAGTTACAAACTGTGCCCACTGCAATGTGGTGTCTTTGAAGGAAGATGTTATACATCTCCTCTTTTACTAAATTCTGCCTGGTTTATCCTGGAAATACTAATGAAGTCCTAGCTACTTGACATTGACCTTTTTGTCCTTTTTTTTATTCAGCCAACTGTTCATGCATGATGCTCTGGAGTAAGTTAGCGCACATGACCTGTTTGTTTATAATCAGTTCTCCACATGCAAAAGCTAACGCTGTGAGACTTCTAGGCAACAGTCCCTGGGCTCTGGTAAGCTGTGCTAGGATGAAAACAGCCCATAAAGGCATCAGGTTTGAATCCTCCCTTTCTCTTTTTGTCTGCAGCCCGAGCCACCAACTTCTAATAAGTGGCAGCTGGACAACTGGCTGACCAAGGTGAACCCACCAGCAGTGCCAACAGAGAGCCCCAGTGACATTGCCCAAGGGGGTGGATGTGAGGAGGTCAAGAAGCAGGAGCAGGGCATCAGCAGCAATTCCTCCCAGCAGCACGCTGAGCTGAGGGAGCCTCCTCACAAGAGCCAGGTGGCCAGGGCTCCCCAGGAGGCTCCTCCGACCAAACGCAGCTTCCAGAGGGCTCCTGCGCACGCTGAGCAGCCCTCGCCCAGGCAGACTGTGGGCATCAAAAGGCCCAGCAAGCCCCTGGTGCACGAGGGGCCCAGGAGTGGCCTGAAGATGGAGAGTGAGCCTGGTCCTTTGGAGGTCGCAGATCAGTCTTTCAGGGACAAGCCAAAAGTCAAAAAAACTGTGAAGACAAAATCCAATGACAGAAAAGACCCAAAACCAGGACTTCAAGAGCCCTCTGAGAAAAAAAAGGACAAGGGCTCCTACCAGGCCAAGGCCAAACCTTTCTTGGAGCCCAGGCTCATGGGAGATGCCCAGGCACGCGATGGCCAGGGCACAGCTCCCATCAGGACCAGCAGCCACAGGCCTCAGGATTTGCACAAGGAGAAATTGCCCTTGCCTCTCGGAGAGAAGTTGCTCTCACCAGTGAGGGATCCCCCAACCCGTGAGCACCTCGTGGTGAAAATAGATCTCTGTCACCTGGAAAAAGTCCCTCAGCCCCCCAGGAAAAATGGGCACCAGAGGAAAGCAGAGACCAAGGACCTTCCTGATGTGAGGAAGCAAGACTTGAAGAGGAAAGCCACGGGTACTCCTGAGGACTCCCTTGCAAAGAAGAAGGTGAGAGGTAGAGTGGGAGGTGGGTTTGTACACGGACTAATGTGATGTTTGAAAAGCCTATGTAGACTTGCCATTTTATAGGTTGGGATTAGAGCCGTTATCCTTCTGTAAAGCTATTGCCAAGGAGAATGTGAATCAAAACTGTCTGCAGATGTTTCTTGTTGGTCACAAATCCCCTCCTGAGCAAATGAAAAGCCCTGTAAGCTGTCTAATGTGTTTTAGTATTTTAGAATATATTTTTGCTCTGTTTTCTTGAAATCCTGGTTTTCTCAGACAATAAAACCAGTTGTAAAGGTGGCTTTCCCTTGAATTACAAGACAGCCCTTTATTTAACTGAGGTGATTGTTGCTCATAAGTGTTTTTTGAAAAGTTGACTCCCAAAGGAGACTATGAATATACCTCCAGCCAGCTGGGTCAACTGCACAAAGAGTTGGCTGCAGACCTTGTGGGGAATGAGTATTCCCTCTGGATGTTTCAGTCCCTGGGTCCCCTTTTGGTCCTCACAGAGCAGATGGCTCAGCATGGATGGGTGAATAACCTTGGCTTGGTTTTCATTTAATTTTATGAATTTCCTACAGTTGTGAGGGAGAATTGAGAAGAGCAGGAAAATCATGAAGAAACGTGTGAGACCTCAGAAATTCCTGCTCTTACAGAGCAATGGGACAAAGGGAGACAGGCAGTCAGTCTAAGAGACACAGGAGAGGAGCTATTTGATGTTAGAAATATCTTCTCTTGCAATCTCAGTGCCTGACTGCAGGGAAACCCCCCTGAGAGCCTCACAGTCAGTTCTGTCAGTGCATCGGGGGCTCAGGTCTCACGGCAGCCAGCTGGGTCAGGTACAGCTGTCAGACATTCTTTGGTGGCAGTGTGGAACCTGGAACACAGTGTAAGGATGTGATCTCAGTGCTGGAGCCTTGTTCTGAGCACCCTGCCAGAGACAGTCTCTGTGTCACAGCACACCCCTGTGAGTGGCACAAAGCTGGCTGTGTCCCAGGCGTGAGAAGAACTCTTCTCCCAGGCTGGGAGAAGAACTCACTGGGAGCATGCCGGCAGAGAAGGACCGGGAGGTTCTGCTGGATGAGAGGCTGGACACGACCCAGCAGTGTGTGCTTGCAACCCAAAAGCCAAACATGTCCTGGGCTGCATCCAAAGATGTGTGATCAGGAGGCTGAGGAAGGGTAATGTACCCCTCTCCTCCTCTCCGGTGACGCCCCACCTGCAGTGCTGCATCAGCTCTGGGGTCCCCAGGTTACCAGTGCTTTAAAATTTCACCTGTATCAGCATGTTGGTGATAAAAACCAAACCCCCTGCACATCTGGAGTACCTGTGTGGAGTATCTCACATGAAAGTGCCTTGCTTTTGATTATTGTTCGTAGCAACAGGCTTAACAGTTCCATCCCTGCCACTGCAAAACAATTAATCTATCCAAGCAAAATTAGATAAAATATCATTTTAGGTTACTGGTCTATGAGCTTTCAGTCTGTATCTTCTGTGCTGTGGGTTTGCAATTAGTTGGTTCTGATAAGGTATCTTTTCTTCTTTTTTTAACCAGACTCAATCAAACTTAGCTGTGTTGGTCTGTGTTTTATGTGAACTTTGAAAAGCTCAGTGATTTTATGTTTCCTTTTTTTTTTTTTTTTGTCTTCCTATTAGAGGGGAGAGAAGGAGGAGACTGATAAGAAGAAAATGAAATCTGAAAAAAAACCCAAATCATTGCAGTCTTCAGCTAAAGAAGACTCCAGTAAATTGAAGTGAGTACGCAGTGGTGGAATGGCAGAAGGATGTATAAATCCAAGTCTTTCCTAAACAGCTAAGATCAAGGAACTGTGTCTCTGTCCTTATACTCATGAGTTTGCTTCTTACATAATGTTCCTTCTGAAACCTAATCTACAGCAGATTTGCCTTTACATCCTGGAAGCAACCAGTCCAGAAAGCACCTCTGTAGGTGTGGGTGGGTTAGGGCAGTGAGCATTTCCCTTCTCCACTAAAGTCATCCTGTTGTCTTTGTCTTGTTTTCATAAATGATCCAATGGACACAAAACCAATGTGCCTTTTGAGTCCTGACTGTCTGGAATTTCAGGTGGTCTTTGTGACCAGGAATTCCTCCTTTTTCCAGTGCAGCATTTGCAGTGCCTCTGGTAGCTCTGCTGGAGCTTCCCCTGTAATTTACATACCAGAGCACTGCCAGCATTCTGGCTAGCCCTTTGCTCCAGTGAGTGCTTCCAAGAGCATGTTTCCAACTGGGCAGTGTTCCCAAGAGGGGAGACTCATGCCTCAGTCATGGGCTACTGCATTCAATTCCTGCTTGCTCGTGGCTTGAATTTGAGGTGCTGGCTTGGATTGGTATGTAGTGTTGAGGTTTGTGTCCTGACAATAGGGGTAAACTGCTTTTCTGGAGAGAAAACACTAACACACTCTGGAAGCACTGAGGAATTGGGACTACCATTTAGTTGGGTGAAGGGATATTTGAACTGTGGTAGTCATGGAAGAGCTTTAATTCTGGGGCTCATTCCTCCCTTTTTCTCAGTGAAAATGGGCACCTGTTTTAGTCATGTTCTGGCTTTTGGACTGGGAAGAATAGGATGCGTTTTTGGGAAGAGAGTGCACTTAGGCGGGTCAGGTGATGGTTCTGTGCTCTAAAAAAACATCAGCTGTGCCAAGGTGGAGAAGCTTGGGAGCATGTGTGTGATGTGAGTGGGGACCAAACCATGGGAAAAGTGTGTGGTGGAAGAGGGGAGAGGATTGTCCCACGCACAATAGAATGAGGCAGGATGTGCACCGTCACACCTCAGTCTCCTCACTGGGTTAAACTTTTGTTTCTTCCTCTTCTGATGTTGCAGTCCACAAGCTGGGATTCCCTGCTCAGTGTTTTCTTGAAAACTTTGAGAAACTGAATAAAAATATGTAAATGAGCAGTGGTGAAACGAAGTTTAGAACTATTTGGTGCTACTTAGGGCTGCTCATCCTAACTTCAAATGACCAGAAATCTAATGTTAGTAAATGTGATAATCTCTGCCATTTAAAAGCATAGCATTTAAGTCTCTCTCAGCTTTGTGAGTGTTGTCTAGTTGATCTAGCAAGTCTTAAAGGAGGAGCTCAGCTTAATACTATCAAAGCACATAGAGGATCAAGGGTCAGGATGAGTATCTCTGACCACAAAAAATACCATCTACTAAAAGGGGGAGAGGCAGGCAATGCTGCAGTTCATTTGCCTTGTTGGGTGATTTGTCCCAGGGATTTTAATCGCTATAATCACCTCCTTCACTGAGTGAAAAGGGGTTGTACTGGATGCATGCTTTTTTTGCAACGTCCTGATGTTCTGATTACAAGTGTTTGCTCCAAGGACAAGTTCTGAGACTTATTCCTACTTGAAAAGCAGCTTACTTGTATGTTGATAGTAGGTGAAGGTTTGCTGTCTAAATCACAATGCTCCTGAAGTTTCCTTTCACTTTTGGTGAATTCTTTGTATTAACAAGTCATCTCACACTTAAAGGGGAGTTTAAACAGAATTGGCACATGATGTAACTAAGTTTGTAAAAAATCCCCACAATGCATGTACACCATGTTCATGAATTTGCTTCCCATCTCCAGAGCATCAAAAGCTTCATCTGAAACCCAGAAGAAAGATGTGCTCCCACCACTGCCATCCATGTCTGCTGCACAACCTGCCCCAAAGTCAGCCAAGATGTCCCAAAAGAGACCCAGAAATGAGACTGATGAGCTGCAGGCCATGGACAACCCTGCCAAGAACAAGAGCAACCACAAGGATCCTTTGTTTGCCAAGCACAGGAGAGTGGAGGGAAATCATATGGAACTGTCAAAGGGTATCAAAGTAGGTATCCAGGATAACTGGTGGGATGTTTGCTCCAATATGGGTGCTATGTGGTTCTCTTCAGAAACATACTCTGTAAACTCCAAAGGCATGACAGTCATGTTTATGCTAATTACCATTTCAGATTGTAGGCAACTGCTAATACAATACTGGTGTATTGGTGTTAAAATAAGTGTGCTTACAAAAAGAAAGAGGGGATTGCTTAAAAATAAGAAAACAAGCAACCTGTGACGTTGACTACAACCCAGGTGTAAGCTTTTATAGTTTGTTTACAAAATGGTTCATGATTCTTGCAGCTGATTATTTGCATTTCTGGGTTACAAAATTTGATTACGTGGCTGTTTACTGGAGGCTCGGGCGTGTGGTCAGGGATGTTGCTCTGTGTGTGTTAAGCCAGACTGTGGACACTCTATTAGCTGGCTCTAACTGCTTGCTTTTTCCTTTTCCCTGTAGTTAGTAATGGGGAATCAGCAGTTGTTGTGTGGTTAAGGTGGAAATAAGTGTGAATAGATCTTATCATTCTGCCTTGGCTAGAGGACATGAAAACTGTGCTGCTTGCAGCCTCACTGCTCTCTTAGTCATTGTGCAAGGAAATTCTGCTGCTGAATTTCTCTGAGCTTGAGAGACGTTTGAGTGGTGTTAGGCATGACAAGCAGTCAGGTGAGAAGCAAGCAGGGGTTGCTGGGGAAGAGAGCCTGGAGAATAGACTATGCCTGGGGCAAATAAACATTTTCGCTTTGGAATTGGTTTAGGCATATTTCTCTAACCAGCTTTATCTCTGCCCATTTTCAGGGATCTGCAGGTGATGTCACAAAGCCTTTCCCAGTGCCTTCTATGCCAAATGGTACCTCTAAGCCAAGGAGACCTCTGCTCAAGTTTGAAAAGTAAGTTTTTGTTTGACACCCCTCATCTTTACTTTCTGAAGGCATGAGGCAGGGCTGGCCATGAGGCCACCCTGGCTTCTGCTTTTTCATGAGCACTTCTTTGGGAGGAAAGAGTGGGGGGAGAGATGTGTGAGATCTGCCCTGTACTGCCTTCTCATGCCACCAACTGCAAAGTAAAGGTTTACAAGAAAGCAAAGTTTTATGACAGTTTTGGTTTGAGGGAAGCTACACTGGAAACTAGGGACCTCTCTTGTAAGCAAGTAACTTGAATACAAGTTTTGGTCTCAGATAAGTGTATGGTTGCTGCCAAATTTACTTTGTTTCAATTAACATTTATTTATGGATCTGTAGTTCAGGAATGATAGATGACATAACTACTGTCTTTCCTTGGAAATGAGGAATTTAACTTGTTCCCATAGAAGCGCAACCTCTGGTGGTTTTTTTATTTCTAAATGTAAATTTTCAATATTATTCCAACATATGTTTTTTTAAGAAATCAATCAACCTGTAGCATCCTCTAGATAAGAAAGTAAAACTCATAATTATCCTACCCTTTTTCATCTGTTTTTCCTCTATGTCCCCAATTTAGGCAACATTCAAAGGAATACTACATTGAACAGGCCCAGAGGCTGAAGCACAAAGCCGATGCAATGGTAAGTCTTGACCTTGTGCTGGGAATGCTGACCAGCTCCTGCACTCAGCCCTGGTACCTGTGTGTGTGGGAATGAGGTTCACTGGCTACCATGGCTTCCATACTCCATACATGGAGTGTGTTCAGTCATGTGTTGGGAGGCTGTCTTTATTTGCCAGATGTTCAGATGTTTCTCTTGGATGCAAACACATCTAGAAAATGGGATTCAGAACTGGCATTGTCAAGGGCTTTGCTAAGAGCTATGAAAGCATCCTTGGAAAACAGATGGAACAGTTAGTTTTAAAACAGTTTAAAAAGTCAGGATCCTGGCAGTTATTGAGTTGCTGGTGACCAAGACTTGGAAGTGGCCTTGACAGATCTGATTTTTTCTGCTCTGTGCAGTTTAACAGTGTGCACAAGTGAACATATTGGTTTGCTAATTATGGCAGATAATTATCTCAGATCATGTCCGTTTGCTACTTTCTGTTTACCTGTGAAAATGAAGTGAGGGAATGCTGCAGTGGGAAATCCCCCTGTGAGGCAAGCCTCCAAGACCAGACAACAGTATCAAAAAAATAAGTGAAGATAATAAATTACTCAAGGACACCATTGAGGAAAGAGAGACAAATGGAGCAGACAAAGCTGAAGACTGGGATCACATTAAGGGTTCTGCTGAGAACCCTTTGAGTTTCACCCAGAGGCCAGACTGAAGTCTTTTTCTTTCTTCAAATGCTGCTTAACTAGGAAGAAAAGAGAATTCAAGTATGCTTGAGAGAAGTGTGTTTGATCTTAGTTAAAAAGTGAGAATTTTCTTCCTAATAGACTGACAAGACTGGAAAGGCCTTTCAGTACCTGGAGGCTGCCCTTCTATTCATTGAATACGGGATTGCCTTGGAATCAGATGTGCCGGAACCCAAATCAGCTTACAGCATATTCAGTGACACCATAGTTCTCATCAAGTAAGTGACATTCAGAGGGTGACAGTTTGGCATGTTTGGAGGGGAGGGTATTTTGACACACCGTCCTCTGCTCAAGATCTTACAACGTTCCTTGTGCCAGGACTAAGGACTTGGGGCAGGTTTCCTGACTTTCCAGCTGTTTTTAAGATAATGGCATGCATTTCATTAATTGGGGGCTTCAGAGTGCTCTGGTGGCTGACAAGGTCCTGTTTATTTTGTTTCCCTAGATTCATTATGACTTTGAAACCATTTGCAGACTCCTCAGTCTCTTCACACGGAAAAATCTTTGCTGTGTTACGGTGAGCAACTGTGCTTCTGTTCCTTTGTGCATTGCTTTGAAACTGAGGGAAAGGTTCATTGCTTCAAGGGGGGAAGGAATGAGCTAAATGGGAGTTACAGTTATGCAAGGGAAAAAAAAAAAACAATATAAAGGAACAGAAAAAAACCACAATATAAAAACCAGAATGAATTGAAACATCTCTAAAATAAGCTGGGAGATCACAAGGGACCACATGTAGAAGGCACAGGCTTTAAAATTTGATCTGGTAACTTGAGAGCACATAAGGGCTTTCACCTAAGGTGAAAGAATGTGATTTGACTGCCCATGTTTGAGCTGTGTAAGTGAAACTGTAGCTGAACATGGATGAGGCACTTCTGGATGGGGACTTACTCAGCCTTTGGCACTTCTGAGAGCCTGGGCACCTGTTTGTATGAAAGACCAGAGAAGGTCCTTCCTTGTTTGTTTCTTTCCCTTGTGATTTTTTTTTTCACAAAGTCTCTTTTTATCATGATCAGAAGGAGGAGAAGTTTTGAGCTTTCCTGACCTTCCAGTAGAGTTGAGTGTGCCTGCCTCCATCCCTCAAGGCTGATGGGGGCTGGGCACAAACACTGACATTCGGGTGTGTTTCTGTCCACAGCATGCGCTGCCAGTCCATTCTGCACATGGCAATGTTTGGTTACAAAAAGGACACTGCAATGAGGTATTCCAGACTCCTGAATGACCACTTCAAGGTAGGGCACAGGTATCACTAAGGTGCCAGCTGGATGGCTGTGGTAGTTACTGATGTCAGCTGAACAATCCAAAACTAACTAGACTTTTATTCCTTGCTGCAGAGTAATTTCAGAGCACCTTCTCCAGGTGTTGCAAGGTAAGATTTAAAAATTTCTTGTCATGTGTCTGTGTTTCAATGACAATGAGTAAGAGCTGTTCTGTGGTCATTTCATGTGGCAGACAGGAAATGAAAGATTCTTTTGTCTTTCAAAATCTGTGGCCGAGAGAAGGTTGTTTGGACTTAGACAGTGGTGCTGATTCCAGTTACATTTTTTTGGCCACCTTGCACAGGGTAGTTCATTGAGAAGTAAGTCTCCTCTTGAGAGCAGTGGTGGAAGCCCTGTCATACCAGTGACTAAAATTAGGTTGGTTGAAGTGGTGGGGGTGTGATGAGCCAGGCTGTGTCTGGAAGGCAGCCGGCTGACCACATTTATCTGCCCTGGGGCTATAAATAAATGTGTGTAGGCTGACCTGGGTGCTCTAAGGAGCTGCCAAAAGCTCCAGCCTCCTCAGGAGGGGAGCTTCAGTGTGCCTGATTTGGAAGGCATTAGGGAAAACACTTGGGTAATCTGGTGAAGACTTTCACAAGTAGTGTAGATTTTGGAGGACAGATGAGTGGCCCTTTTCAGTGTCTGGTCCCACATTTTCTCTTGTTGAGTAGAGTCCTTTTAAATCACTTCCAAAAACTTGGTCTTGCCCTCAAAGTACAACTGCTTGTGCTGTAGGTAAGCACATCTCAGTTTTCTGCAGTTCATTCCATGCTGCAGGCCCGGGTGACACCGGATAGTTCCTGGCATGAGGCAGCCTTGTGGAAAGATGTTTAGCTCTGAAGCTGAATGTTCATGATGGTGTTTCTTTTCTTCTGCAGAAGCACAGGCTTGCCTTCTCCTCTTTCTCCAATACCCTCTCCTGCTGGATCTGTGAGTTCTCAGCTGGGATCAAATGATAGCAATGGCGTTGGCCACAGCAGCATTGGCAACAGCACTGGCTCTACTGTCACTGTCTCCTCCCATATCTCCAGTGTCACCTCTTCCTATGTCAACATCACCTCCTATATCCTCCATGCATATGAAATTTGGGAAAAGGCTGATGCACTGGCCAGAAAGAATAAAGGTAAGTTTTTCCCCTTTGTCTTTTCTGTCTCGTGTCATGGTTATTTGTGTATTTGCTTCAATCCCGACACTCAGTGCAGCAAGCACCATACCTAAATTTCAAAGCGTGAAATATGTTGACTGTCTCTGCCAGGGCACATTGGCACAGATACTTGATGGTGATATACTGATGAGTGTTCCCATTAAAAGGTTTTCATGGCATCCTCAAATGTCCAAGAGCTAAGGGGTGAGGGTGTGGAGTGCAGGAAACCAGCCAACTTGCTTCGTGGTAACACAAGAAATGTAAAGGGTTTGGGTTTTTTCTGTGTCTCCCTTTGGGGCACTGAGCTTTTCTGAGTTGGTTCATTTTGTTTAAGAGTATCATTTTGGCCTGTAGCCTTGTGTTTTAGCTTTTGTTAAATTTCCAGGTCATTTTGTCTTGAAAATGGTGAATCTGGCTTTTCTGCCTAACAGAGAAGCTGAGCAGCACTTGAATTTGAGTCCTTGCTGGGCATGTGCCCAGTATTTGCCAGCAGCAATTAATAGAATTGCTGCAACTTTTTTATTTTACAGTTTTGTTGTTTAAAATGTTGTATTGTCCTTTGGTTCAAGCAGTGGTGAGTACACAAAAGCCACAGGGTGGGTGCAGTCCAGCCTGTGACCTTGTCATCCCACATGGCCTCAGCAATGTCATTTTCCATACAACACAAAGATTTGTGAGCCAGTGTGGGTGAAGAGATGCATTGCCATGACCTATTGGCAAACTTGCAAAAGAAAATAAGCACAGTGTGCCTGGCTGGATTGTTGGAAGGCTGTAAAAATCCTCACACTAATGAGGCAGTTGCTGAAAATCAAAAGGCTTTCCAAGTCACCTTTGAATAAAAAACTGGTTGTTGGCTGTCCTCTGAGCAAATCCATGCCTGCAGCAGTAGTTCATGTGTGGCATTTTCGATTCTGTCCTCAAAAGGCTGATAAAAGACTGTCACATAGAAGCAGTGGATGGTGCTAATAAGCCAGAGGAGTGAGTCATGGAGGAAAATGTGTGGGAGGGCAGCCTGAGTACAGCCTTGCATCAGTCAAGACTAAATTCAAAATGTGCTCTGTTGGCTGGTCCTGACGTAGGGAGATGATGACTGGGGTACTAAATACTCTGTAGGGAGAGGATCTGTGCAGGAGACCCCTAAATACTCATGAGGGCTTGGTGGTGGTGTCACTGTTCAGGACAGTTGGAAGCATTTCAGACCTGGAACTCACTGATAATCAGTGTAATGTACAAAGAAGTACAGAGAATGAAAACACAAAATTAATAAAAAAGGCCACATCCTTGATTCTTTTATGCAATTCATAGGGCATAAGAAGAGGAAGAAAGAGCAGCAGCCTTTAGTTATCAAGATCTTATAAGCTGGGAAGTCCTAAGCTATTGGAAAGCAGTCAGCTGTAACTGCTGTCCAAGTCACTGGTGCAGAGCTGAAGTGCCATCTGGAGGGTCCCCTGACACGTGCCAGCTCCTCACTGGAATTCAGAGCAGCACTGTGGATCACGAGGCTGTAACAGGTTGTCTTCGTGCTCTGATCTCCCCCCTGCAAGGACAGGCTCAGGCTGCAGGCATGGACGTGAAGTCCCTCTCCTTTCACATGATGCTGTGCTGACAGATCAGGTCATCTTCTGTTTGCTCAGACAGGGCCTTTGAATTCCTTGTATTCCCCATGGAGGGCATGGATTCTGTAAACAAAAGCAGGAAAGTCGGAGGGAATGTGTTCTCTCCTTCTGCATAGGCAAGCATTAGAAAGGAAGTGTTCTGCACTCTGCTTCTGAGGAGCTCCTTGCACAGCCAAGCAGAATTTTTCCACCTCTAGCTTCAATCTTTGGATATCAAAAAGGAGAGCTGAGAATGGCCAGTTTCTGAAAAGGTATTTAGCAACATGTTTGAGCTGAAGAGTGAGAGATTGGGCCTGTGTCAGTGGGAGGCAGGCCATGCAGGAATGCCTTGGAAAGGTGACTGCAAAGGAACAGATGTGAGAATTTCCCACAGCTCATGGTCACCTGCGCAGATGATTGCCAGCACAGAGCAGGGCTTGCGCCTGCCAGCCCCTCACAGCAGGGTCAGATGTGCTGCAAGAGCCACCTCCTGTGCAGGAGGAGGAGTGGGATGCCTGGAGCTGGTGGTGGGTTGGGAGGAATGTGAGATCTGTCTGACATGTTCGGCTATAAGCAATCCAAACCAGAGCTGTATATAGCCCGGCAAGCTACACAAATAGAGAAATCCTGATATCTCCAAGGCTTGAGGATGGATGAAGGAAAGGGATATAGCTGTGTGTGCTTCTGGGTGCTGCTCAGGAAGACACTCAAATTTGTCCCATTTAGAACTTGGGAGAAACTTGAAGCAGGGACTGTGGTGCAAACACCCAAACTTTTGCTGCCCTCCCACAGAGTCTCTGTGTCCTTTAAAGTCAGGACATGAGGAGATGTCTCAGTGTGTGTAAATGTTTTCCTGTTGCCTGCAATGCATGCTGTGCATGTCACCCTTCCCAGCCCTGTGACACTGCTGAGCTGTAGCACTGCTTAACAGGACTGGCCACCTGACTGTGCTGCTGCTGTCACTCCTCACCTATCAGGTGTGCCTGCTGTATGAAACCAACCAAATGTTTTCTCTCTCTCTCCCTTTTTTCCCCAGAGTTTTTTGCTGAGCTCAGCAGAGCGACGAGTGCTCTGGCACTGACCAGTAGCCTGACAGACCTGGTACACTACATCAGACAGGGATTACAGTGGCTGAGACTGGAAGCAAATATGCCTTAACTGGTTCTCCAGGTCGTTAAATACCTTGAAGTTTTTTTGCACTTTTGAAGCCTCAGAAACAGTTTAATTTTTGTTTTAATTGTTCAATACAAAGCACCTGCAAGGGAAAATATTTTAAATAAAGTTGGAAGTTATCTGGCTACACTGGAAAACCCTTGAACTGTGTTTTTCTAGGGTAGCACTTTGCTACCTTGAAAAAGAAGAGACAGAGGATGGCACCTTCCTTTAAAATGATGAAGTGCAATGAATTGTCTGAATGGCCCGATGTATTGATGGTCTATAAACATTTCTTTTACAAATAACCAGCAGGACAATAATTGCACACGATGCTGACAAGAAGGAAATCTGCCTCCAGAGGTGGTTATGCAACATCCCACAGTCTGCAGCAGTTGTGTGCCCAGACAACATGCTAGAGGAGCTGCTTCTGCAAGCACAGATGCAATCATTGGTGTCTTTGTTCCTCAGAGAGCAAGTAGCAACTTCATCAAGCACCGAACAGCGTTATGTTACAGGAAAAGCAGCAAAAGGATCTGCTCTGCCTGCTTTCCAACCTCACCCTCCTGCTTTTGTCAGCCAGCTGACAAAACTGAGGAAGCCACTGCCTTCAGTGCTGCAAGTTTTCTTTTCAAGTCGTCACTGCTTTGGTCCTCCTTGCTGTGCTGCCATGCACATCCATGCCCCTGGCACTCCAGCTGTGTTACTGAAGGGCTGGCTCAGCTCTAGCCTTGAAAGTCAAACATAGTTGGGGTGGCAAAACGACGTGGTGTGTTTGAAATAGCTCTGCCTCCTTGCTGAGAGATGTCACCATCAGGATTCTTTGTGGGGCTGATGTTTTGTCATTCTTGTGGGTGGGGGTGGAAAGCTGCACTGGTTCACTGTGATTTCTTGGACATTGTTCTAAGAGCTTCCATGAGAGGAAATTGCTTCTGGTAAAGGAGGAATTAAGTGGCTGAATGTGGAACATAAGATAAATTTTGCATTTGGATATTTGCCTGAAACCATTGAGGGTCTTGGTGAATATCTAAGAGCAGGATTTGTACGAAAGTAGGATCTTCTTCATTTGGGAGACAACTCCTCTGTTCTCTCAGCTGTGCTATAGGATGGGCCCAGTGACTTAGAAACCTGTCAAGGGGACAAGAAAGGGAATAATGAGCTGTTTCTAAGCATTATTTTCCTCATCACAGTATCAGTGAAGGCAGCACCCATGGCATTTGTGTATTCAATGAGATGACACCCATCTCTACCCAAAAATTCCTTGTGGTGTGACAGCAGCATCCTGCCATCCTCATACGCAATAGTGTGCCTTAGCCCGCTGGTCCCCTGTCACATCCCTCGGCCTCTCTATCACAGACCCCTGGGACTGGAGAAGAGAAGGATGGTATCCCAAAATAATTGTGTTTAGCAGAAAGAATTAGCTCCCTTTTCCACATAATTTCACAATTAGGGAGGAGCAGTTCTGCAGATGTGCAGAAGTACCCACTTTGTAGAATACCTGATCATGGGTTTGAGGCTCATGAAAATGGACAGTGAATAAATACCAGCAAAAGTTTTGCATTTCCAAAAGTAGAAGTGGCTCCTGCCACGGGGAAGCCTGGGCTCTTCTTGACTCTGGGAGGAGATGATGGGAGCGTGCTGGTCCCGAGCACAGGGGAGCTCTCCTGTCACCTTCCTGGTGTTCCTGGCAGCACAGGAACACCAGGATCATGGCTGCGCCTTTTGCAACTTGAAGGGATTGGCCTTTTTCATTCACTTTGTTAAAACCTCAGAGCAATTCAGGGATGAGCTGTCCTGACAAGTGGAAGGAAGATCCATGGCCCTCCTCCCCATTTTACCTATCAAGCTTTGCTTGCACTCCTCTCCCCTGGAGCAGGGTCAGAGAAGGGCTCAGCATTAACTGTTTTGTTCTCAGGAAGCGTGGGGATGGGCAGCCAGCCTGGAGTCTGATGTGCACTTTGGAACTTGATCCCAGGCTGGTGGATCGATGCCACCTTTGGACTTTGTCTTCAGACAAAGCTATTTCTAGGATCATCAGCTGAGGAGGAGGAGGAAAGATGAAAGCTTTATTGAACTTGGAAACCACTGTGGGAGCCTGCAGGAACCATAGCAGAGTGTGAGGGGAAAGCATAAGGGGCACCAGAGGCAGGAGTGTCCTGGTACTTTCCTTCTCTGTGCATCCATGTCCCTCCCTGCTGCCAGGAGAGCTGCTTGCTGCTGTGCAGAAGTGGTTGTGTGAGGGCTGCCCCCATTCCCAGGACCAGCTCCCCTGGGCTTTGAGGGAAAGAACATCACAGGCAGTTTGTGTCACAGGCATGGGGGGACTCTTTGGGGGCTCTCAGTTGGAAAGCAGTCTGTGGGAGCATCACTCCCAAGCTCCACAGCAGGAAGTTAGGTTTTGTTTCAGGACACAGAGAAAGACTGTTCAAATAATAGGAAAATTTAAAAAAAGCCATCATATTTCAACCTTGAGCCAGGTCAGAGGCCTGCAGAGGGTTTGGAAGGAAGCTTATAATTTTCACCTGGGCCTATTCAGGCCTTTAAAAAAAACAAACAGAAATTAAATAGAAACAAATCAAAATGTAGCAGTGGAGGAAATAGCATTTGCCATTCAGAAGCAAACCATTAATCCAAGGAAAACCAGGGGTGATTGTTTAATCCCAGAAAGAATGGAGGCAGCTATGGTGGCAAAGCAGCATCATTTCCACGCAATATTTATTTAAAAGAAATAATAATACATGCGTTGAAATTGTCAAATATTCTATTTTTAAGATGCCATTTATTTAATAGTTGAAAACCCCACTTACATGGAGATAGAGATCTCTTGTGTAACTGAAAGTCAAAGTCTGACTGCAATGTCGTTGTTTTTGGTTTTGTCCTCTCCCCTCCCTCTTGGTTTTCACGATAAATCTGTGCATCTTATTTTGGGGATGTATGTCCCTATTGTATATAACCTTTTTCTGCCCTGTGTGTGATGGAATTTCTGAGATGATTGATTCATATGGGGGAAATAAACAATAAATGAATGTTTGTTATGAGGTGTTTCAAGAGTCCTTGTGTTCTCAGCTTCTTGCAGAGAAATTCTAGTGTAGCTTTTCTCTGAAAGGACTCGAGTGTTTCCCTTCTGAATGAGATTTAGGTATGAATTTCTGTACAAGAAGTCTCTTGTTCCCTTTGCTGCTCTGTTTGTCACCCCTTGCCCTTTCCTTTATGACCAAAAGTGGTGCAAATGTAGATGCTCAGAGTGGCAGGAGCATCATGACTTGGGAAGTGTTCTTCCTACCCTCCCAAATCCGATGCAGGGAAGGCTGTGCTGGGCCAGCTGCTGCAGCCAGCAGAGCCTGGCTCTGAGCCCTTCCTGGCAGGAGCAGCCACAGGTTGGTTTCAGCCAGTCCAACGAGGGACATTAGAAAGCCAGGAGACAAGGCACAGAAGTGGTGGCTGGAGGGTCCTGCTCTGTGTTTGCCACAAAGGTGTTGAAGGGCTCAGTTTATGGATTGGTTTCTGAAAGGCTGTGAGGAGGATTTCCCTCAGGGAATCCCACAGGATTTAATGCCCTGTGGTAGCAGTGTCTCATTGGTTGTGCAAGGGGATCTCTTCCATGGCCTTGTACTTTTCATTGGAAGCTTTTCCCACTTTTTGTTTTCCAAGTTGTTCCTTGGAAGAATGGTTTTGGCATCTCTGTGCACTTTTGGGATACAATTTGTGATTCTGTTCTGCAGCAGGCATTGCACCCAGGATGTTTGCTAATAATGGATGTGGTCTCGTGCACTGTGTGGATTGTAGGGATGCTGACACCTGGGCAATGCCCACTGGGAATGCTGCTGGTCCAGGTGCTGTGCATAGAAATGCACTCTTGGATTGTGGTCGGTGCAGGACTGGGGCAAAGCAGGGAGCGTTAATTTTGGGGGTGGGATGGAGATGGGGTTGAACATGCCAGCAGGGGGGCCATTCAAAAGCCAGGCAGGATGTGGGGCTGTAGCAAGTGTTGGCTGCCCAGCTTGGCTTTCTGCCCAGGGTAGTGGCCCCCCCGGGCTAACACAGCCAAAAATATTTTTCCGATAATACTAAAGAAATACATTGTCATTTCTTTAATTATCGAGTATTTATTGCCCAAACCTAATTTTGCAATCCTGTTTGATTTGAGATTTTTTTTATTGATTATAGATGAACTTGTGTTCTGCCTTTGGCTTGGCTTATCCTTTCAAAAACAAATGTCATTTTTGGCAAATCACCTGAGTTAAAGTCAGTTGCACTTTCTCAGCCCTGTGCTGCTCTCCAAACACTAAAATAGCCCCTTGGCAGCTTGTGCTTTCTTTACATTAATTGCAGTTTCAGCAACCCCTGTCACAAAAAACCAACTCTGTTCCTTGGCTATCATCAACCTTTCTGAATGTGTTTCCATAACCTTTGTGTTCCTGAAACTTGTGCATGCTGCAGGAGCAGCGTGCACTCACTGCTGCTTTGTGATGTCTTCAGTCAAGGTGTGGGGTTCCCAGAATTCCTGCTGGGTTTTCCTCCTCTCCTGCTCAGTATTGTTGAGGTTTTTTTTGGGGTCTAGCCCTTCATGTTGCAGCATTAAGGTCATGTTTTACACTGTCAGAGGCATCTGCAAAACTTGTGGATTGTTTAGTGAAATCTTGATTTTACTGCTGGCCAGTTCCCAGTTCCATATGAAGAAATACTTGTAAATGGAAAAAAGAGTTCAGATTTATTTTTTTTTCAGTTTGCATCTGTTTTTCACTTGTTCCATGTGGGGTTTTCCCAGATGCCTGCTGTACCTTTTCACTTGGAAGGTGTGGTAAATTCAAGTCTGTGTTTAAATTTTCATTTGAAAGAATCAGAAAATCCTGTCATCTTAACAACGGTAAAGGAGCAATTACTTAGACAATGTAGTGTCTTGGGAGAAGTTGGAATCTTTTGGACCAGGGAGGTTGTGGGCAAAAGGTAGCTGGGCTGCAGCCCAGGATATGGCAGGCAGGTCAGAACTTGGGGGGCATTAGGGCTGTAAATCTTGCAGTCAATGCACAAAATATTTTCTAAGATTTTTGTCCCACACAGCTGGGAGAAATGAGCCTTTTATTTTGATTATATTCAGTGCTCAGTGGAATAGTAAGCTGAGTGAGGGTAGTAGATTAGAATAAACAGTCTGGCTGAGGTAGAAGGGGAAGAGAAATCTGCAGATCACAGGCACAGCATTTATTTTAGCACCCTAAACCTGTCTCTTGACAGCCAGTGGGTTTTCTGTGATGATTATTAAACAAGAGGCAAAAGGTTGATTGTATTTCTGTAGCCAGTGGAGGAGAAGAATCACTCCAGACAGAGGCATTACTTCCCCCTGCTGTTATTTTGTGTAAGGGCAAGAGTTGCCCTGGAAAACTGAAAATCCCACACTACAATTTGGTAGCTGGCACAGCACAGTTCAGACACAGTCTCGGTGCATCCCTGTTCCTCTCCAGTGACTCCTTGGCACTGTGTGAGTGGGACAGACCATACACCACAAGAGTGCAATGACTGATGGCAACTGGAAAATGGCAAACTTGCTTGCAAGAATATTGGTAAAGAAATAAATGTGGAATGTTTTTTTTTTAATATTTTTTTAAAAATTAATTCTCCTAATAAATCCAGCAGTAAGCATGGGAAAATGGGACACAAGAGCTTACATCCTTTAAAACACAAAAGTACGTTTAAAGGTGAGGAAGTAGAAAATTCTATTATAAAACTAAAAATATGTGAAATGAAATTAAACCTCTGGTTTTATTTCCAGTGATAGTAGAAGTTCAGGTTTGGGAAACTAGGTTAGGTGGAAGGAAGCTGCCCAGCTCTTGTGTTTTGGATTAGGGTGGGCAGCAAAATGTGCTGTTACTGTTGTGATTGAGATTCTGCTAAACAGAAATCTAATAAGGGATTACCTCTTTTCACAGAAAATTTTAGGACATAGAGTTGCAGTGTAGCAATCAAATGTGAAAGAAAATTTTGCAGCTGACAGGTAGTCAGAGCAACAGTGCTGCAGGAATTTGCTCTCATGAGAAAAAATCATCTGGAGATTATTTTTCACCATCGAGGTGAACAAATAATCTCCTTGATTTGTTCATCAAATTAGGAATTCTTGAAATTGATGGTTTGTACCTTGTCAGTGATGTGTTGTTTTGATTTTTTTTTTTAAGGTTGTGTCTCTTTGACTGAGATGATTTCATACCACATTCATTCACCATCTGATGGGCAGAAGCCTTTTCTTACATGAATTCTTTCAGGAATCAGCTGTACTCGGAAGGAAATGTAAAGAATCTGTGAATCATAGAGATGAGTTGGGCTGCTACAGCGCTCCAATGTCAATTTGCTTTTCTCATCCCATTAACTAATAATTTACCTGTGAAATTCTTGTTGCAGAGGCCCTGCTCCAGGAGTTCTCCTGTCTGGACTGGTAAAGAGCCTCCCTGAGTTTCCATCACCGCTCAAAATGCGCAAGTCACAGAATTGAATTTCTTGCTACCTTTTTTCATTTAATGCCTGAGCTGGGGCCTTTGGACAAAGCAGCTGCACGTTCTGGCCATGGTACCTGAGGGCTCCCTGAGTGGCTCCTTCTCAGCTGCTAGGCAGGGAGCAGGGGTTAGGTGATATTCCTTGCCAGAAAGCCTCTCTGTGCAAGGTAATTCTCTGCTTGTCTGAAAGGCAGGGAAAGGACAGGCACTGATGTCTTCTCTCCCTTCCTTCCCTTGTAGATCAACAGGAACAGCTTCAAATCCCAATTCTTACCACTGCCTCTGCAAGCTGAGAGTAAGAAGTCCTCCCTCCAGAGAAATGGCAGGTAAGGCTAGAGCTGCTGGGAGAGGCTGAGCAGAGGGGAGCCTTGTCTGCACAAGGGGTGTGAGGTGAGAGCTGCTGGGACAGGGAGCTCACCCTGAGTGAGGTAATTCCTGACTCCAGACTCAGCTGATCGTACAGCTGAGCTGTCACAGCCAAGTGAATCCAGGGGAGGATGGAAAAACCAAAATTGCAGAAGTGAAGCCAAAGCTGTTGATTTATTATAATTTTCAATTTTAATAATCCAATGTTTTCTGTGACTGTACATTGAGGTATCTCTTCAAATAATTAAATGTGTGCAAAGACATCAAGTTCTGCCCATAATAATTTCAATGTTAGTGACAGCAGCATTGGAAGGAAGGGAAGCTCATAAAGGAGGGTACCTAAGGTTTAACTTTTCCAAGCAGCTTCCATGTTCCATTAGAGCTGTTGTTTGCCTGGGGCTTGATGAAGAAAGGCAGAAAGAAGAGGAATCAAATAAGTCCAACAAAGGGATACAGAAATCAGTTTGGGTAAATACAGAACTGTAAAAAAAACAGGGGAGAGTCTTTGGAAGAGAAGCTGCTGGAGTTTCCCATGTCTCTTTTCCTGAGGTCTGCACCTTAGGGGTCAGAATTTGAGTAAATACCACCCCCAGCCCCATGGATGAGGAGGTATTGTTGGCTCACCTAGGCTTAGGAGCAGGTGTGGACAGTTTCTTGTACTGCCAGGTGTCCCCTTCCTTGGCTGTAGGGAATCTCTGGATTAATCTGTGCCCAAGTGTGTGAAACAGAACTTGGCTCACCAGGGTACACTGTAGGTGGATTATCAGCAATAGCTCATGGTCAGGAGGGGAGTACTGTCTCTCCCAGGCAGGCTGACTTTGTTTCATCCTCCAGGTGCCATCAGGGGTTTATTTATGGTATTTCTGCAAAGGCTCTGCTGTGTAGTGCTAATCTTTCCTTTCTCTTTTTTGAGATGCAGTCTTGAGCATTTCACCAGGACTTGACGCTGTGATCATTATTGGTTTTAAAAGCTTAGGAACTACAGACATTGCCATCTTGTTAAGCAGACAAACCATTTCAGTTCAGGTCCAACAAATGCCAGCTCTTACAGATAAGAAGCACTGTGGTAGGGCAACTGATTAGATTTTGCTTGGCTTAACTGGGAAAGGAAAGTTTTAATCCAGGTTATCCTCACTAATAGTCTCAGACCACAGTATAGAGGTTCCTCAGTTCTGCACTGTGCTTTGCTAAAATATCACAAATTTCTAGAGAGGAATGAAATGTTCTCCCTGCAGATGCCAGGATGCTTTTCCCAGCTTCTCAGCCACGTTGCACTGGGAGAGACAAGCCCCGAAGCAGTTGATACCGAGCTGATTTCTCTCACATCAACTCACCTGTTCCTGCAAATGTCATGATCCTACTAAAAAAGCTAGAGGGCTTTTTAAGAGAAATATTTTCTATTGGCTTTGAGCTCAGGTTGGTTTGCATAAGAAATTACTTCAAGGCCCTGACTGAACCTAAAGGGTTCCTCTTCTTCAAAAGGGAGCTACATAAATCAAGATTCTGTCTACTCCCTGGCTGATTTTCTTCCTCCTCTTCTTGCCTCAGCAAAACATGTGTTCTCCAGTTTATCTAAAGGACAAAAATTACATTTTCATTCAGTTGTACAGACCAACACGGCAGTGCTCTGCGTCTTCCCCTGACCACCAGGAAAGAAGAAGGATTTCTGGCACCCCATTAGGAACACCCAGAGTCGTGATGTTCCCAATGCTTCATACAGCAGTGGTTTCATTTGTTGCTTTTCTGGCACACACTCCTTCTCTGTTGGCTGGCTCAGCAGCATTTAGCAATTGTTCCTTGCTTACGTGGAATTAGTTCTTGGATTAGAATTCAGTCTCTCTGTGCAGTTAATTTGTTGAACTATGTGGTAAAAGAAATGTTATTTTGCCCTTAATCATTGTTAACAGAAACATAACCATGACCAAACTCTCTTGGATATACATACATTTTTCAATATAACGTACAACAAAAGGCATTGTATTAAAAATTTCTATTGAGTGTCAATGGTTTTAGTTACAACCTATAAAATTACACTTAATGAATCCCATAATGTTTCACTCACCAGTGTCTCTTACAAATGCTGAACTGGGAGCTGCCAAAGGAGTATTGCACTGACTCTCATAATAATAATAAAAGGGTTCATTACAATCATTCCACATAATCCTCCATAACTTGCTGTTTCCAAGTTTTGTGATGCTTTGATGCTTATTTGGCTACAAAATGAAAGCCTTGTCTCCAGATAATGAAGGAAGGGAAGGTTGTCATAGACCATTTGAAGTCTGAGAATATTTGATTCTTTCATTGTTTACAGCTAGACTTGAGAAGGATCAAAAAGATTTTTGGAGGACGAGCTTAGTGTAAAGGCTTCTTTTTGACTTGTAGCAGAGGCAGTGACCATAAAGGAGGTATTATCTTTAGGAATAAATTACACTGTAATTAAAGCAAACTACAGATTGTTTCATACAAGAGGGACAGGGAGTGGAGAGCTTTTTCAATATGGAAAAAAACTTCTGTATGTACAAGCCAGAAAGCTTGATTTCATCTAAAACCAAAGTTCTCTCTTTACTGAAAACTTCAGTTTATTCTTACTCTTTTACACCTGTTCTGGAAATCCGCAGACACCCAGATTGCCACTAATGACTGCACCTGATTTCCTTCAGGAAGCTGTACCTAATTATCCAAATGGGGCACTAAGACACAGCAGAGTAAAACAGATTGAAAATATTTTCAGCTTAGTTCTCCATTTGAATTAACTCCATTGGAATGACATGCTCTTAGGATCTGAAGTGAATGTTTTAGTGTATAGAAATGGAGAATTCCCCTAAAAGGTCTTCTAATAATCCTTACTATATTTTGTTGTTTTCAAAGGCACATCAACACAAAGCAGCAGGATATACAAGCAGCTAAGCCCAGAATGTCCACTGTTGAGAAAAGGGCATTTGGATCCCACATGGAAGAACCCAAGAGAGAGTAGCAGACTAGGAATGGTGAGTCCTGTTTCTGATGGATGAGTATCTGCTCAGATGAACTAAAGCCAAGACTGAAACAAGAGCAAGTTTAAGGCAGTTGATTAACCTGTTTTAAAGCAATTCAGACCTATTTTGTGAGAGACTAATTTAGTGAGAGAAGCTTATATTTCCTGATCAGACCCCAGGATCAAAGGTGTATTATTCCCAAGTCAGTGGCCTTGGGAAAGAGATCAGCAAGATGTCAGCAGGGTTGGGTTACACCAAGACCAAGAGAACCTGTCCCTTCTGCCCCAGGGGAGGGGGCAGAGCTTGGTCAGAGCTGAGATAAGGATGAACTTGGTAAGGAGATTCACATGTGGGGTCCTGTTGTGAGCACAAGTTTCTTTTGGTAAGAAAAGAATTCAAAGTGGGCTTTCCAATGGCAAAAGCATTTGAAGAATTAAGATCAGAGAAGAGAGAAATCAGAGATCCAGTCTGAGGCTAGGACCAAGGTCTGTGTGAAGGTGATAGAAAGGACTTCCAAATGAGCATAAGCAGCCACCTGAAGTGCAGTTTAATACATGGAGGACAGAGACCACCTCTTCTAAGTTTAGGGAAGAGAGAATCTCCATCTAAACCAGTGAATAACCTACCAGTGCACTCTGTCCATTCCTGATGGACACAGATCTTTAAGGTCTTACACTACAACGCCCATCAAAAGCAACAAGAACATGGAAACATGAAAGGTAATCTCTTGAGCTCTGTTATATATATAAACAGCTATTTCAAAAGCCTCTTTATCATGATAACTGCCGCCAAAAATCCTGTGTATTAACAGAATATGAAGTGCTACTTAGAAAGCCTTCACTGTATTTTTCCATGGCTCATTTGATAGGTCTTGAAGTGCTCTTGACTGGGTAAAGGGTAGAAAAGTCATGATCTCACAAATTGTTTCTAAAAAAACCCCAAACCCCCCCTGATTTATGACAGATTCTGCTTGCTTCTATTTACAGAGGATCCTGCTGCTAAGGGAAATTGATATTGGTACTGACACCTTCACAAAATGCTACCAAGGGTGAAAATGAACCATCAACATCACAGCTGTGGGAAGGTGTAAGTAGCACTGGCTGCCAGGTTGATATGTAAATGTGTGCATTCCTGTATCACCGTGATGCAAAATGTTTGAAGGAAAAAGTGTTATTGCTCCTGAGAATATCCTTCTCAACCTCTTTACACAAGTAATAAAAATACTGCAAAACTCTGCTGGCCCATTTCCTGGAAATGCCAATTTCTGTTCTTTGCTAGAGGTAGGCAAGAGAGCTTCTGACAAATATCTAAGTACAACATGTTCAGCAGAGAATTTCACCTGCCTCTGACTTGCAGGCTGAGAAGTACAAATCATGTGTGACATGTCTAGGAAGGAGGAAATCAACCATCAGTCATCAGCTGATAAAGCCACAGAACAAGATGTTTACTCCCATTTTGGTTTCTTTGGTTACTGGTTTCTTTTTTTTTTATTAAGTAGGAGAGTTACTACTTTTGTAACAATAATGTTTGCTTAATAAACCAATTTGCTTCTTAGCTGCACATTTTTCTCTAATAAAGACATTTATATTATTGAATTTTTATTTCCTTTTCTAAAAACTGACATTGCCCTTTAAATATGAGGTTATATACCAAGATACTTACCTTCAGCTGTTTTGCAGACATGTGATGTTTAGCAGAACAACTTGTTTCAGCTAGAACAAATAAGGGTTATCCATTTTACCAGGGTCCTGTTGTTACGATCTGTGTTGTTCTTCTCCTGTATCAAAGTGCTCCTTCAAATCATTTGCATCTGGCAGCTATTTTTTCCATACATCAGCTGTGTTAAACATAGGTTGAAGTCCATGACTGAAGCTACAAGATAGTGGCTTATGCCACATTTCACAAAAATCTTTCACATACTGCCATGGCTAAAGACAATACTTACACCAAAGTTCCTCCTGAAAGGAAAAAAAAAAAATTTACATATGATGTCTAAGTATGTGAGGCAGATGCCTGTATCTTTAACTTTCCAAAACAGAGAAGCCCCTAATGGGACACCCAGCCTTTCCAAAATGCAGGCTGCACAAACCCTTCTGGGTTAACAGGAATTGACGGTAATTCTGGCAGCCAACACTGCCCTCCAGTGTGAGTTGTGTTAACTTCCTTCTGCAGCGGCTTCCTTCGTCAGGGTTAATAAATGGATTCAGTGTGCATTGCTGAACGTGTCATCCCATGACTTCATTTAACTTTATCTTAAGATAAATATTGGTTTTTTTTTCATAAAATATTTTTAAGAGCTATTGGTTATCAGCTGTTTCTCTCCTTTCTATGTACTACTGCAAAAATAAAAAGGAATGTGGAAACACATTATTATTGGATCTATAATTTATATTTGCTTTGGTGTATTTAGTATTTTTCAAAACTTCTGCAGACCCACTGGATCACCTTCACAGATGATGTGTGACACGTTGTAGATTTGCTTTCTGCAGTTATAACAGACATAATGGAAGTCAATATTATTTCACTGTTCTCCCTGCAGATTTCTGGTAGTCCATGTGGGACATATACATATATAAAAACAGGATCTACATTTCAAATCAAAAATTCCCTCCAACACCCTCCAAGCATAAGGAACTGTTAGTCTTTACAACTCATAGGCAACACACTGCTTGTATATACACAAACACCTCAATCTCACTTAGAAACAACTGGTATTACAGCCATAGCTGATTTTAATTTATCACTGAATTATCTTTTTTGTATCATTCATCTGAATTTCAATCCCGAATTGCATTAAAAGAGAGCTTCAGTGCTAACACAGAGGATCCTCAATACTCCCAAACACCAAGTTGCAGAAAGAGTTATTTAACCCCGTATCCTTGGTATGTTTATTAGTATATTGAACAGCCACTGGAGTTTGCACTTCATAGGAAAAAGAAGGGGTGGGGGACTGGGGGCTGTGTCTGTGTGTCTGTCTGTATTTTGCACTGTAGAGAATAACTTCTGGTCCAAAATGTGTATGTAAAATTCCTGCTCAAAACTGTCCACCTCAGGAACTGCTTTTTTCAGAATTTGGGCAAACACTTCACTACACTGTTCTGTGAACACTGTGTCACATGGGATGTTTTTTAATATAAAAAAAGCATATATTATCCTAAATTAAGACACTTCCCAGAATTATTCAAAGAAATGGTTAGGTCAAGGTGCTGTAATTCTTTACCAAAACATACTAGAGAAGGTGGCTGGACCTTCATTCACCAACATTCCAGTCTAGAGGACAAGCAGGTGGGCTGAGATTGCATCTTGGATTGTCCTGAGAGCAAGGAACGATCCCCTTGGTTCCAAGCATTACAACAACCTGGTTTGTGACGCTGTTCTTGCCCCTACAAGCAGCCATGGTCTCAAACAGCCTCCTCTGCTCCATGAAGAGGTGCATGCCCCTCAGTTCTAGTGCCCACTGCCACGCTGAGCTCCCTGGTTTGGATCTCATCTCATCTGTGAGTAAATGAATTCCGATGGAAATGCGCCTCGGCTTGGCTTCTCCCCAAACTCCTGCTGGCACCAGCAGTTGTTCCCAGTCTCTTGCTGCAACAGGGGAGGTTTTGTGCCAGGCAACTACGACTGCCAGTGTCAAGGGTCAGCTCCACAGCCTCTTGTCTTTGTCACCAGCTCCCACAGCTGGCTGGCATCCATTTATTCTATTCTCTGGGTTTAAAATCAGCTTGAGGCTTTCTGCTGCACAAATGTTGCTTCCCCCGTGACCCCAGCAACCTTGACTCGAAATTGTCTGTGCTGTTAAAACCTGAGGTAGCTCGGCTGTGCCCTGGGCATCAATCCAGTTTCTGTCCCCTTGCACCACCCTTGTGTAGGGACACAGAGTTGTCAGATGCCATCAAGGGGCAGGACACATTTCACATTTTCAATTCTGCACTGACACAGCCCCAGAATTGATCCCTGGGGTAACCCCTGGCTTCCAGCTGGACCGGAGCTGCTGATCCCAACCAACCTCAGCTGGTTCTCTACCCCCTTTCTCCGTCTGTATTTCATCAGCTCCTCCATGAGGATGGTTTGGGAGACAGAGGCAAGAGCCTTGCTATGGTTGAGGTAAACAACATCCACTGCTCTGCTCTCCTCCACCCAGCCAGACATTACAGGGGAAAAGGCTGATGGGTTGCTGAAGGTTGGCTTATCATAAATCATTGCTGGCTGCCAGTCCTCAGGAATCTACCCCATCACCATGACCACTCAAAGATCACTGAGCAATGGCTCCTAGCCACCCTTCACACAATATTAGGAGCCTTCCTCTTCTGGATTTATTAGCTGTGGGCTCCTCATTCCTCATTTTTAAGGAGGCTATAATAGCCATGTAGAAAGCAATCCCCATTTTTAATTTTTCCACAATAAACCTTTTCACTGGAGCACCAACAGAATAAATTCTAATTTACAGATTACTAGTCCCAAGGTGGTAATGACAAGCCAGGAAAGAGCATAAGGCAATCACATTTATATCACTCCATCTGGGAGAGGCAAAAGCCGAGTGTCTGCTTCAACAAAGGCCATGCCACGCGAACATGTTGCCATTGTTTTCCATTCACCCTAAGAAAAAGACCTGGAGGAAAAAATGCTGGTTTTGTTCTTCACCACTCTCCAGAGACATTTTCTGACTTGAAATCTGAGGCCAGTTCTCTGATCAGTATCTTCCAACGTCATCTCACTGCTCCAAGTCATTCCAGTGGACAGTTAAGAAACTTGTGGAAAAATGAACATTCAGGGACGTTCAGGAGTGAGGGTAAAAGTACAGGACCTTGTAAGAATTTTAGTGAAATGGGAGTTATACTATTATATAGTTTTGTATCTCTTGCACAAATGAGTAAAAAAGCCATTTAATTCATAAGCCTTCTGACCCTCTGTTTTTCCTCAAGAAATTCTAAATCTCCAAGCTGATAAATCACTTCTCCCTTCAGTTCTTTTTAAATAAAAATGCTGAAGTCTCATTACACTTTTCTAGGCTTCAGGCTACATTAAAAAAAAAAAAAAAAAGAACCTGGGAGAGCAACAACCCTGCAGTGAGCCTCTGGGGAGGTAGTTTATGGCAAAAGTAGGAGAAACATTGTACTACAGATCCAGTTGGAGAGCCCTGAAGTGGGCTGTTCTTCTCTTTGAAATACTTTTTTTCTTTCCTCCCACTCCCACTTTAGTCCATCTTTGCATAATCTCTTTTATTTTGTTCCAAATCTCTTTTATTTTGTTCAAGTGAAGCAGCAGCAAGAAATTCCCCCCGCTCTCTATTTTTTTTTTTTTTTTAATTGAGAAGAACTGCTGGTACTCAGCCTCTGGTGGGAAAAAGCATAGGCCCAGGCAGAGTCCTGGCTCCCTTCTCCCACATTATTCACTCTGGTGCAGTTAGAAGCCAATGCACACTAATTGCTGTGATCCCCCCATTTGGCTTTTAACTTAAATAGCCATCTGTAGGAGAATCTCAGCTGCTTTCAGCAGCCAGAAGTACTTGAAAACAGCAGCCCCTAACATTGTTTAATTTTTACTTTGAGGTCATGAAAAAGACCACTAACTGTTTCAATGAAACTCCATAGGATGGGCTTTGGCTGGATGATTTGTTTCTGCTTTAGGATTTAATTTGAACAATATGGACTTCTCCCCATTAGCATAAAATAAATCAGCACTTTGCACTAGTTTCCCACGCATCACTTTCCACAGGCTGCCAGCATTAGGGATCATGTGGACAGATGACAAGCACTCAAACTACTCACATCCATTACAGTCCACTGGTCACATCAGCTCCTGGTTTTGATCATTCTTTAACTTGTATATCACTGTTACTTGCTTCCCACAGTCACCAGGTTTAATATACACATGCCTTGTAATTCAGCCACACAGCATATTTAGACAGTCATAAATTCAATTCAGGTAGCAAGGGTTTGAATAATAGAAGACATTTTATTTTCTCAGTAAGTCAGTTACTTGAAATACACCACAGCCATAGTTGTAGGATTTCAAGGAGATCAAGTATCAGAACTCATATTTTCCTTCCCCAGCTTTCCATTTTCGTGTTAGCACATAAAATGCTGCTTTATATAGAAATGATTTTGTTCCACAAGTCTAACTGAGATAACTTTGAGATTTAGTGAGCTGGAGTCCAGGTATGGCACTTCATCTGCAAAATCACGTGGGATGAAACAAATGATCCAAGTTAACGAAGGGAAGCCATTGAGCTAGCTGGAAAGAACAGAGTATTTTTCCATGAAAGATTTTCAGGCTTCTCCTTCCCCATCCCAGCACTCCTGCCTTGCTGCTCTGTGCCCGAGGGGACATCACCACACTGCTGCCCCATCCGAAGCTGATGGGCAGCCAAAGCTGCCCCTTCCCTTTTCCTGGCAGCCCTCCAGGCTCTGTGGTGCCCTCAGCCCTTCCCCACAGCCATGCCCTGCTGTGAGCTTTCCGTGTTTGCCCACACAGCATCCCCTCGCCCTCAGCAGGGCCAGCAGCCTCCAGCTCTACACCAAAAGAGACAACAGAGAAAAGGGATCCCCACTGAAGCAGCAGCGATGGACCCAATAACATCCCTGCAGGCAGTGCCACGCTGCTTGGTGCATTTCCTCCCATGCAAAAGCCAAGTGGGCACACTTGGGTGTTGTTGCAACCATGAGTTCTGAGGACCAAGAAACTACTTAAAATGAGCCCCATTTGCTGGATTGTTTTTGTGAGGCAGGAACGTCCTAAATTATCAATTAATTAAGACATAGGGAACAAAGCTTTGGGGAGATTTACAAGGAAAATAAAAAGGAAGTTAAAACTAATCAGAAACTAGGGCACAGGCAGGAAAAGCATAGGATTCCTGGCTCTGGGTCCAGCAGACAGGGTTGGTGATCTGGGTGTGTCTGTTGTGGAAAGTTTCTACAAACAGTTTTGCAAAATATAGCAGAAGTCCCAAATATTTATAAAACATTTAGAAACATTCAGATTTTTTGCACCAAATGAAAATATGTATCCTACCCATGGAGAGGGGTTCTACCTACACATTTCTATGATCATCTCTTAACATCCAGCTATCTCCAGTCCAAATTAACAAGAAGTAGTGCTTCTTGTCCAGACCAGTCTGCATATAGTTAACTCAGATGCCAGTTTTAACTGTGAAAGCAAAATTGGACTCGCTGAGGAAAGAAGCCGAATATGTATCTAAATACCACGACAAAAGAGACTGCAGACACTTCTCTGAAAACCGTGTCAGATTAGAGATGCACATTTTTTACTAAACACTTCGTGTTTCAATTGGCAGCTCTAAGCTAAATTGCTCTGCCTAACCCCAAAACAACACATATGCAGAAGCATCAAAATTTCAGGCAGAAACCTCTTTTGAAAATGAGAGG